AAAAAAAATAAATTTAAAAAAAAAAGACACAATCCCTTAAAAAATGAGCACTTGTAACAATGTTGTTTCAGCTAAGCAGCATGTGAGGAGGGCGTTTACAAGTGGAAAGTGTTTCTGTTGCCAACGTTCTTTGGCAACTTTATTACAATACAGTAGTTATTATGCATGTTGGTGTCAGTGAGAACTAGCTAATTTCATGACCAAGACTTCCCTTCGAGTTCTCGAAGCAGCAAAGATGAAGGCAGTTTCCACGAAAAACGAAACTATGATGTTCAAGAGGTTTAGGAAGACATTGAAAATTACACACAGGACGTTTATAGAACACCACATACACCACACACATTGTTTTTACCGTTTACAACGCAGCTGAATTTTTCCTACCTGAATGAAGTCCTCCGTTCAAAACAATCAATTCAGTTTCCATGTAGCTGTTGCTATTCTGTATGAGAATCTCGGAGATAATAACCCTTGAATTTCCAAAAGGCAATTCGAATACTTCACCTCTAACTTCTGAGCAGTCTTGATAACTTAAGAAGTCATTTTCTTCTGAGTAAACTTTTGCGTATTCGTAGCTGTAAATAAAATATTGAAAAGTCTGTGAGACGAAATGTTATTTGGTAACAATTCTACTCTTGATTTAGGGCCGAACGGAGCCCTCGTGTTACATTATTCTACACCTCCTGTTCTCCATTTTTAGTTAATCAGAATTCACTAAGTTTTTCAAGTGAGGCATACAAACCTAAAGTTTATTGATTAATTTATTACTTAATTTGTATAGGTAATCACATTCGTGATTTCCACTTCATTGGTGTGATTAAGCCCAAGTAAATTCTTCAAAGCCTAACAGATTGTGCGACCTGGAAGGTTCAGACGTGATATTCGGACGTTTTCGATGTGGTGGGTGATCTCTGGAAGTGTTTTGAAATCCAGTTATCTTCGGCTATCTTCGAGCGTCTTCGTATTAACTTGGAAAATTTTTGTTGTAATAGTATAAAAAGTTTGTACTCGTGTTACAGTTTTCTACACCCCCTGTTCTCCATTTTTAGTCAATCAGAATTCAGTAAGTTTTTCAAGTGTTTATAACAACAAGAACAAGTAGTGGTAATATTAAAATGAATTTACATTACCCGCAAGATTCATAATGCAGGACGTGTACTGACATCAACAAGACAGCATTTTCCAAGCCATTATCGTGTATTTTCCAGACGCAATGCCTCGTATCCCAGTCTGATTTGGAAATTGTTATCAGTGCAGCTGTTTGATTGAACATGCCACCACAACCTATGTTGAACATGAACAGTTTCTCCGTTATACAATTGATATATATCAACCTTGCACATGTTAGTTTTAATGTTGGCAGATTTGTCCCTGAATGAAGCTTTGCATATGGGTTATTGACCGAGCCAGAGGTGAACATGCCGAGATGTTGGCCCCGTTCCTTCGTTGCATTTTTTGTGGACCGATATACATCAAAAAGTAGACGGTTCAAAGCGTGGTCAATAAAGACACTATTATTTGGTATAAGAACTATACTTTAAGAACCCCAGTTTCCGAAATGCAAACTATTCAACTGATATTCCCCATGTGAAATGTTTTCAACACTCTGGGCATACGTCGTGAGGCCAACCTCCTTTCGGGAAATTTAGGAAAATGCTGTTCAATTTACCACTGGAAACGCCCCAAAATTCAAAATGGACTTAACGGTCCAACGAAAACCCCACAGTGTTGTCATATGCTCTTTGGCCGGGCCGTAAACAAGGTATAGTAACGTTTATTTTCCTTTGAACGGTTTTCTGCAAATGGTGTCCAATGATTTTGATCTATGTGGACAAACTTATTTGAAGAACACAAGGTGTTTTTGATTGCTTGTTATCCACTTTGCATTGTACCCAAGAAGCTGGTTTAGGTATTTTTGGCCGGGTGTGTTGTATAGCATCATAAATTCCAAGTACGACAAGAAGATTTTATGCAGAGGTAAAGAAACTACAGCAACATGGTTACTGCAGCAAACTAATAAGGGGAACCCAATTCCAGCTAAATTGTTATCAAATTAGTAACAGTTACGAGTGCCATGTCTTCGAGAATGCTAAGCGTGTTGTCGATTCTAAACAGAAGTGTAAACAGGAGAAATAAAATGATCAGCGACTAAGTTATTTTTGAGAAAAGCAAGGCCGAAATTCCACGGAACAAAGTTTTGATGTTCTATTTCTCCTTTAATCCACTATTTTCGAAATGAAATTTTAAACCTAGAGAGAAGAAGGCTCTGTTATTTCGAAATGCTAAATTTTGGGGAAATACATGTAAGGTTGCATTTAGAGCTGATATATTCCTTAATATGTTTCGTATTAAAGTAGTTTACTTTTAAGAGGACATTCATAAGCCACGCCCTTACCAACTACAATTGATTGTGGGTAAGAGAGTGGTCCCTCCTCGCTGTTAAATGCAGAAACCCAAACATAGTACTCTTCCATTATTTCTAATCCGTGTATAACAGCCTGTGTTTCTGACGGACCGATGGTGACTTTCTCTCCCTGGTAGTTGTGATCATGCCGGTCCTCCTCACGTTTGTAATACACGTTATATCCTTGCAGATCACCGCCATGTTGACTCTCAGGAAGTGCCTCAAATCGCACTATAATACTGTTTTGATGATAGTTATCGACGCGTACGTTCGGCGGTGCCATACTGGGAGCTGAAAATGTAAGAGAAGAGTGGAATCCCGATTTCTCGAACCCTCAATTTTTCAAACCTCCCGATAACTCGAACCAAAAGTCGTTTTCCCTCCTCAGTAGAACACTGTTATTTTACCCCCGATTTCTCGAACTCTCCGATTTTGCGAACCAATTTTCTTTTCCCTTGGAGGTTCAAAAAACAGGGATTCCACTGTAAACATTTTTTTTAAAACACGCGAGGTCGATGGTTCAGTCAACCATTTTTCTTATTTCCAGGGAGACTTCAATAACGGAACAGTTACTATCATCCGGATAACATCAAACTCATGCATACCCTTGCCGATAGATGCCTATTTCCATCTCACTGTTTTCAAGAGCATCGACAGAGATACAGCCAAGCGTTTTTTCTCACTTCTAAAAAGCTATACAAGTTTCACTGAGAACTATGCACGAACTATCATAAGTGATGAATTTGCTGCATTTGTGATTAAAATCGGCAAAAGCACCAAGGAGATACTAAGAAGATATTAAATTTAAAAAAATAAATAAAATTTCAAAATTTAGAGAGGAAGCCCCATCAGCCTTAGCTGATGCGGGTCTTTGCGCCATCCCTGCTCCCCCATATTAAGCGAATCGTTCCAAGAATAGCAATTTGTAATTAGCTTTTAGCTTTTTTTTAATGCGCAAGGGTAGAATTTGAAGCAGTCTTCTCTACGATTGAAATTGGAATTGAAAACATCGCGAATACGTCACTTGTGATAACATTATTTTTATAGTTTTGGTTCACTCTTATGAACATTTTCAAAGTTATTAGATCATTGTTTTAGATTACAATTGACGTAAATACGACCTCATAAATATGAAGTATGAATCCATCTTCAGTAACAACATACCTCCTTCATTCGTCTTCATGGAGACACTATCGCTCGAATATATGTCATGTTCAATGCCTGGCCCTGTGAATGCCACAACTTGTAACAGGTATTTTCGATCCGGGTAAAGGTTGTCTATATGCCGAGATCTGTCCCATTCGGAAACTGGCAGTAACAGGGAGATGTTTTTATTTGCCTCTGAGATCTTCAGAAACATTTGTTCAATGTGTGCAGGCATAGCGTTTTGTGGAAACTCTTCCCATGATGCCTCAGCCTTTGTCGATTCTATGTTGCTGACTGACAAAGTCCACGATGGCACTTCAATTTCTGCAATAAAGAATGAAAAGGTGAGAAGACGAACACCATCAAAGACCAAATAAACGGAGAAAGCAACAATAAACAGTTTCTGTGTTTTCGTCGTGGTTTTTTCGTATGCTTATTTGCGCTGTTGCGCGTTTTTTTTGTTTTTTGTTTTTTTTGTTTCTTTATTTTTTTCCTCTTAATAGTTCTGGAGGCAGTTCTCCAAGAAAAAGTATCAAGAGTTATCATTGTACCTTTAAAGGGTTAAAATGCACGAGCAACATGGCTTTCCTTACTTTGCTCTGTACGATTGCTGTTTTTGTTTCTGTTGTTGTTTTATGTGTTGGTTTGTTTCTGGAACTGAGTGGGGGTTAATTTCGCCTCTCACGTCTTTTACTCTAAGAACATCATTATTGGACGCATTTTTTGGCGTTTGGTGTTGTGTAAATATCAAATATCTGTTCACATTGATAAAGAGATACAGGCATGAAATAAAACGTCGTGTGTAATAACTCAATGGTAAACAATGTTGTATTAAATCACGTGATACATCAATTGACCTTAAATGAAATAACTACTATAAAACGTTTCACATCACAGAAACAAAAGGTACACACCGTGTACACCGGCTTCCAGACCATAATAAGATGCGACAAAGGCGTCTCCTTCTCTATGCTCCCTTGCGAAAAACGCTAGCTCAACATGGCTACCTGATATAAGTAGTGTGAATCGGTCCATGTCGTGGCCGCAAAGAAGAGTGTCATTATTGTACTTCCCTGTTGCAATGCCAAGCCAGTCGTTCGTGCTGGAAAAGAATGAAAATTATGATCAAATTAGTAGGCGCTACAAAGACACATGAAAAGGGAAACATATACACAACAGTCCCCATTTGACGAGAAAATGTGCTTGGATATTTGTCCGCAGACATTATCTATGTCGAGAATTTTTTTTTTTCTCGATATAGTTACAGAGATATGCTTTTGTTTCCCTGTGAACGTTGGAGATCAGTCAACGCCAAAGAGAGTTAATCATACATCCTACTTGATAAAGATGCTGTTAGCTAAAATACTGGCGAGATGGTTTTCCTACTGTATCCATATGGTAGTCTAAGCTGCGCGCGCGCCTGGCAAATTCTCAGCTCTTTCTATGGGAGGATGACTGTTTTGACTTTGATCGCTCCTTCTGAGTCACTGTATTGAGAAGTCAGCGAGCTTTGATAATGACTTGATACACTACTTCTCTGAGAAACTCGTGTACCTAACACGTTAGCGAAAATGCGCAGGCCATTTTCTTCGCGTTATGGGTGCATTAAAAACGCGCGTGCAATGTTCGCTTACATGTATCTCTGAGCCCCGGTACTGTATATTACCAGCACTGAAATCATAATTCCCTTCCTGCCAAACCCACTTTTATAGTTCAGTAATCAGCTTATTACATTGTTTCCCAACACAAGCATTCACCTGCAATAACTATCATGATCACGATCCAAACGAAAATTTTCAAATGACATCATTATTGCTGTGGTGGGGCCACTCGGCTCAATAGACCAGCGACAGTATTGAGGTCCTCTGTAACGGCAAGGGTAATTAGGCGCGTATATTGTTCCGTTTACTTCCGTCAACGTGCGAGGTCCTCCACAAGCTTGTAAAAAGGAACAGAAAAAAGTTAAGTACAACGTCAAGTTTCTGCTCAGTGTTTTGGCCTTAGGTTTCTTCTAATACATGTAACATCTCTTCACCTGGATCGCCCAGGAACTTTAATCGCGCACGTATATTGTTGCACACAAAACGACGAAACAAGGAAAGTTCGTTCCAATTCTAGGAATCGGAAACCAGATTACTAAACGGCCGGTGCTGCTTCGTCGCTTAGAGCAAGAAGCTACCTGGAGCCAAATTTTGTTGGCTTTCCCTAATAATATCACGGGTGACAAATTACCCCTTAATTTTGACGCGAAATTTTATCGTTAATTTTCACATGTCAAATTACAAAATCACTATTTCTAGATGCAATAGACCTGTCAAAACCTTACGATTTTGAGTGTAATTTGATTCCCATGATATTACAAGACAACCAAGTGGTATACTTGTGAAAGTACGGAATAATTTCACATGCGTTTTGTTCAAATTCTAGTAAATTAGAATTTGGACAAAGCGCGCGTGAAATTATTCCCTAATTTCGCTCGTCGCCATTTGATTACACCATGGATAGTAGAAGACAGTCTCTTTACTATCCATGATTACACATACTAATTGTGCGATGGCCATTCTGTAACGTAAACCATGAAGCTACATGTTATGCATCAACTACTGAATTACCACACCTCCTTATATAAAACTAAACCGATATAGATACAGTCATGTAATTCATTCAACACTTACGCATGGCAACGTCCATGTGCCTATCTTCTCCAACTCCTCTTGATGTAAATCCGGCAATCCAAATGTCATACCTGGTTCCGGGCTGAAGGCCGGTGATGGTGTAACTCCTATCGAATAAACCAGCATGTGTGGACGATCCTTCACCGTCAGAGCACTGGGCACGGTAGGTAATATAAAAGCCGAGAAGTATACCATTGTGATGTTCCTGGGATATTTCCGACCACTCAATATACACACTGTCTGGTGAAACGATCTTGTATTCAACATGTCCGGGGCCTTCACTGGGAACTGAAAAATATAATGTTTGATGTTTGGTTCCGTGATTCTAAGAAAACAATTTCTCATATGGGTGAATTCTTTAATAACAACGTGAAATATGTTCAATATGTGCAGCATCCACTTGACACAGAATTGACTAAATAAGGCTAGTCCTAAGACCGAAATGGGAAAGGGTTACATGTATAAAACTTCAGTAAAAAATTTTGTGTGGAATAATCCTACATTTTACATTAATGTTACATAGATATTAGAAAGATCTTCACTATATCTAAATTTCATATTTAAAAGTCACGTGAACTAGGCCACTTGTCACACTTATAATAAGTACAAGTTATGGTGGCCACTGTTTTGTACCGGACATTTGATTGGCTGGATTTGAAAATGTTGTAATCTTCAGTTCTGCCATCTAATTGGTTTTCATTGTCTGGGTTACCTCGGTTTCAGTAAACGCACTGTAACTAATTAAAACCATTAAAAAGGTCTTTTGAAGCCTTAAAAATCCAGGCCTTATTCAGTAAATTATCGGGGAAAAAATCAAGATGCAACTTATTACGAGAAAACATACTCACCGCCCTCGGCGGTCTGAACAGAGAATAGTTCACTGCTGTAAATATCATGACTATTGACTACGCGGTATACAACAGCGTCGAACTCGCTATAAACAGGGAGGCCTGGCACCTCAGCCACACCCTCGGACGAATTAGCCATGTGTAGATATCTTGGTGGCTTGTCGTCGTCATCTCCATACTCATATTGGCTTCCTCCCGTTTTATTCAGAGCTATCATATAGAAAGAGGCATCTTGACCATCGGGATCACTCGTCAAGTCTACAAGAATGTCACCATCGTCTGTGCTGTTCGCCATCACATTCCAAAGAGTAGCAGAAGGTTGAGCTAAAGAAAATAACATCGGACCTGACATCAGCACACTTCCACTTACTTTACAGTTCAATTTGTAACAACGTACGAATTGCAGATCTGCGAGCAAGTAAAATGTATTACTTTTTCTTACTTAAAATTCCATCATGGGTTGTTGGCCATTATATTCCTAAGAGTAAGAGAAGCTAAGACAGAGTGCCATGATCTGACATAAGAAGACCTCTTCTTACCTTAATAAAATACGATTTGTAAATCTTCATGTACATAATGTGTCTTATTGATTCAAACTGTTGCATTTAAGATCAATAATTCTACAAAAATCGCGTTTTTTCTTTAACCGATTATCAACTAGGAGGTTGTAGAACGGAAGGTTTTGGTGGGAAGGGTTTTGGCAGAATTGGTATTCACAAGTCGACAGGAAGGGTGTTTAGTAAAGATTCTGTAGCAATCACACAAACCTGAACTAAGACTTTTCCCTTCTTCCAAGACACAAAATTCTGATCTCACATGGCTCCCTTCATGTTCCGTATGAAGTACAATGGTCAAATGGCTTGATCCTTCAAAAGACACCTCTACCACCTCACCGTACACGTGCTCATGAGGATCACAGCCTCCATAATGTAAGACCTCTTTGCCTTCACTGGTAAAAACTCTCACCCAGCCCCTGTACAAATAGATGTACGTTAACATCAACGACAAGGACAGAAAGCAAATTATCATTTTTTATGCTGGACGTAGGTTATCCCGCAAACTGGAGCTGCAATAGTGAATCATTATTTGTATGTTTTTTGTTTGGTTTTCACATTTAAACACTATTGAATTGTGAAACCAATTTTCTTTTCAATGGGTATTTTTTATCCAATTCCCAGTTACTGAAGGCTCCCAGTTGGGGTTCAGAGGCACTGATGTTTTCATGGAGGTCTGATTTTGATTCAAATAATAAGCCATTTCCGGGTTTTTTTTGTACCTATGTTACAAAACGAGTCTCCATGCAAAGCCTTTCTTATGAAAATGAACCTATAGACGGAACTCATTTTCACATGAATGGTTTCATAGACTCGTTTTGACACAGAGGCAAAAGGCAACTCGGAAATGCTTTATTCTCCTCACTTCACAGATTAACAATTAACGGCCATTCTCCAAATCTTATGGCGGTGAGATGTAATGCCAAAGGCAGGAAGTTCTTAACTCTCATACATTTGCTGTACTTAAAGGGTTCAGGTGAGAGCTCCCACCCCAGTCATGAAGTCTTTCATACCACAACTGATCATGGCTCTTGATTTTGCAATAGGACCTGTATTTTAAGGGATTTTTATCAGTTCCACATGAAATAATATTCTGTTGTATCATCCCAATTATTGTTTGTGAATATAAATTTTTGGAATTGACTAATGCCATTTTTGGAATTTGAGAGGAGCACTTGTGAATTCAAGAAGGCAGATACGAAGTGGCTAGGGGTTCAGTGTTGCATCTCGCCGTAAAACAACGTACATGGTGCACCATCGTAATGACAATTAGAAAACACTCCTAAGAAAATACATGCACTGATTGGTTGAAAATCGTGTTTCTAAAACTCGATGGAAACACAGAACTAGCACGAGCTGTTGACATAATGATGGCACAAGCAAAGAGAATTTACACTTTGAAAATCAAAGTCAACAAGCTGTTTTCCTTTTTTTTCGTCGCGGTGTTTTCTAAAAAGAAATAGAAAACATGTTCTCCGTGTTTCTGTTGAGTTATAGAAACACTCATGAAAGTTTGGGAGAACTCGAAAAAGCTGTGGAAACACTCGCCTGCGGTTCGTGTTCCCACAGTATTTCTTGTTCTCTGAAACTTCCACTCGTGTTTCTATAACTCGATAGAAACACGGTACATGTTTTCTATTTCTTAAATACATTATAGATATTTGCCACAGCTAACAAATGCAAAGAGAAAAATTAATAATAAATTACTCGCAAGATCGTAGTTCCACTTCGTGTGCAGAGATAAGAAGAACTGCATTGCTAAGGCCAGCATTGCTTATTGTCCAGGAGCAGTCTAGCCAGGCTTCCCAGTCCCACTGAGTAAGGTTGAATGCTCCGAAAAATCCATAAAAACTGCCACCACAACCTGGCAAAATGAAGTGGGTTGAAATTATTTGACGCTCTTGTTAGTTTCCTTAGGATAGAGAGAAGGGGTTTGACTAAGAAAAAAGGAACAGCAGGAACAATGTAGAGGGACTGAAGCAGTTTAAGGCCTGGGTCAGGAATCTACATGTGTAGTATAATTATGGTTGGGCAGCTAGATCTTGTTATATTTGTTTCACCAAGCTGAAATTTTCCCTGATTATAAAACTCAGTGACCTGCCTTGCCTTAACGTATTATTTTAATCATGTGACATGTCACATGATTATTTTGTTAAAATTACCACTTGAGAGGAGGAGGAGGAGGAAGAAGAGGAGGAAAAGGAAGGGGAAAAAGACAAGAAGGAGCAGGCAAAGGACGGGCGCGGGAGTGAGAACCGGGGCAGGAACAGGAGCTGGAAAAGTAAAATGTGAAAAAGGAGCAGCAGAAGATGCAAGGGCAAGAGTGAGAAGGAGCAGGAATGGCAGCAGGAGTGGGAGTGATAGCAGAAGCAGAAACAGCAGCAGGAACATGAGCAGGAACATGAGCAGGAGCAGGAGCAGGAACAGGAGCAGGAACAGGGGAAGGAGAATGAGAATAAAAAGGCAGAGATGAAGGCGAAGGAAGTCAACAATACAGGGAATATGTTCATCACTGATCTACATGTACGAAGAAAAATATACCAAAAACCAAAAAAAAAGAACACAAATTTAAATGTAAGATGTTTGTCGTACATAATATAACTACCTCTTGTACTTTCCTTGATAGATGTGTTTCTGTGATTAATTGAATAATATTAATGCACACTTACCAACCATGACTGTTTCCCATTCTGACCAAGGCCCAACATCTACAGTGAAAGCTGCAACCGAAATCTGGTACCTCCGACCTCCATCTAAGCCACTAAGGACAACATGGGTCTCTGACAGACTGACGTTAAGGATTTGTCCTAATTCCCCGTCATCATGCCACTCATACTCATGTTTGTACAGTCTCGTGAAGATCAGGTAACCCTGTAGCTTGCCGTTTACATATTTTTCGGGAAGTGGATCCCACATGACCAAGATGCTGTTGTCCTTCAAGCTTTGCATATGTACATTAGGAGGTGCCTTTCCTGGAGCTGGATAAAGTTGCAATTAATTAAAAATTCAGCTGGTTGGTAGCTTTTCTTTGCAGTAAAGAAAAAGAGCTCCAAAATATATTTATACACTTCAAAGTCATTAGAACACTCAAGAGGGCAAAAGGTATAGAAAAGTAGGATTCCATTGTCTAAACCTTAAAATTAGGGAATTGGGAAGTGAAGACAATGATTTACTGATTTGAAAATTTGAGTATCTCAAGATTTTTGACTAGGTTCGTGGGTTAGGGTCGAGGAATACTCCTTTAAGCTTACCTCCTTCAGGTGTCTTGACAGAAGTACTTTCACTGGAGTAGATTTTGTCCTCTGTAAATGCAATGACATCCATGACATAATCACGGTATGGCAAGAGCCCCTTGTCAATGTGGTATGATCTGTCGTGCTCTTCTACTGGCAGCATCACAGATACATTGTCTTGCGTGAATCTTACCGCAAAGTGGTTAACTGGCTCACCAAGGGGAAACTCTGACCAATTATAGTCCACTGACAATGAATCCACAGTTACTGAGCAACTCCATTGAGGCAGCTGGGTTACTGGAATAACAAAGTATTAGCCACCTTAAGGAGGCCAAACACAGTTTCTGATATCTGTTTGATTTGCCATATTTTGTTTGGTTTTTTTTTGGTTTTTTGTTAACCCTTGATCCTTTGGTCCTCAAAAATGCAATTTAAAAGCTCAGACTTTGCTATTTTGATATTTTTGTAGACGTATATGTCATTGACATGGCAACATAAATGGATAACAGGTCTTTAAAATTGGGTTTTGTTTATTTGCAGAAAATCAATTCATTAGACATTCGATCTTCATCACCTGCATACTAGTGATGAACGCACGTTAACAATAATAGTTTAACAGAGAGATTTTTATCCTTAGTTGAAGAATAACTGGATTATTTACATGTACTAGAATTCCCTGAGTTGAATTATTATTCAATTATTTTCTGAAATATTTTCTTGCCAAATTTTGTGCAATTCTGATGATTGTTTCTCAAGCAATAGGTGTATTTCCTAGATACCATTATGACATTCTGGCCCATTTTTCTTTTTAACTACCTATGCATGTGCTACATTTAAATGGCTAGTTCAGTAACAACGAATAGCCTGAAAATCTGGTGAGTTCTTTGCATCTGCAATTTGTTAACATGCACACTAACTTAAGACTAAAACCTGCCACACACTGTGTCCTATGTGAAGAGAAATAGCAAAGATAACGAGGACATAGAGAAATGGTTACTCTCTGAGCACCATATTTGTTTTTCAATCCTTGTGGGGGTACTGAATAAAATTACAAGGAGCGCCTGCAAACTGTGTTCGGCCGCCTTAATTAAAACTCATTCCTGTCCAGTCACTAAAACAGTCAAAACTGACCACATTTGGTCTATATTAGGTCACAGCTTCCATAGAAGTGTGATTCAATGTAATCACAAGGTGATTCCGGATACTCCTGAATGGAAGTCAGTTTTTGTGTTAGCAGTATTTTGGACACTGATTGATCATCACTTCACAGTGTACGATAATCAAAAAGAAATCGATACTGATAACAATTAGTCTAAATCAGCCAGCAATCAGTGCTTCGGATCGGCCCAGAATTGTCTTTTGAAATTGCCATTACCTTGAAATCTACGAAAATTCTGGGAATGGCAAGATATGAAGTCCATATATTAATAACGATAATGATAACAATTTACTTATCTAATTACAGCATTTATTTCTATTTTGTTATTTTCTATCATTTTGTGAGGCGTATTTGAAAACTTATGTTGAATTTGTGCCAAACAAATCTTTAGTAACACATTTACATGTACTGTTATTAACAATAAAATTTAATAATTATAACATTTATAACAATGAGAGTGACAATGACAGTGTAACAATGACAGTGTAACAGTGACAGTGAAACAGTGACAATGACAATGACAA